GCCCAGCGAGGAGGGAGCCTTGCCCAGAGCCACTGGCGCGGGCCCCAAGGGGCTGCCACCCGGGGTCCCCCGCCAGTTCGGTGCCATGCGATTAAGTCCCCAGGCCCCCAGCCCACTGTGTAAAGTGTGTGAAGCACGACAGCCCCCCAAGTGGCCTTTGAAATCGCCACCTGGACGGAAAGGAGCCAGCAGGGACAAGGACGCGTTGCTGGGCTCCAGCAGACGCGGTCTCAATCAGCACGTGCACATGCCGCCGGCCTGGCGCTGCAAGGCCCTTACAGATGCTGGCCCGCACGACGGCGTCCACACGTGCACTGCAGCCTGCCCGGCTCGCCTGCTTATCTCTGCCTTCTCATCTAGCTCTGGCAGGCCGCCCTCGCCACACTCAACCCCAACCCCACCGACAGCTGCCCCCTGTACCTCAACTGTGCCACCGTGGCCGCCCTGCCCGCCAAGGTCAGCCGACACAACAGTCCCTCAGCCGCCCACTTCATCACCCGGCTGGTGCGGACCTGCCTGCCCGCGGGGACGAATCGGTGTGTGCTGGTGAGTGTTCCCAGTGGCCTGTCCCCGAGGTGGACGGTGCACCGTCCCTGCAGAGCCCCCCAGCCCTGGGCTGAGACGCCAGGACAGATGTCCTGGGCCCTTGAGCGCCTGGGCTCAGCATCAAGAAGCAGGAAATGCATCTGGCAGCCAGCCATTTGCTCCCTGCACCTAGTTGTTCCCTGGTTCCGACCGGAGGGGTCACATCTTGCTTTGAGGGGTGAACCACCCAGGTTTGAGCCTCCCTGGGGCAGATTGATGCCTGACTTTCTGGCTCTGAGGCCCGGCCAGCACTCCCCTGCTCCTTTCCGGTAGGGTACCCCCTCGGAGTCCCCCAGCTCACAGCTTGGCCCCCTCCTGTGTGCTGCAGATGGTGTGTGAGCAGTCGGACGTCTTCGCCTCGGCTTGCGCGCTGGCCCGGGCCTTCCCGCTGTTCACCCAGCGCTCGGGTGCGGCGAGGCGTTCCGAAAAGAGGACAGTCACAGTGGAGTTCTTCCTGGTGGGACAAGACAACGGCCCCATGGAGGTGCCCACCCTGCAAGTGGGTGCCATGGGCCTCGCCCATCCCTCGCTCCCATCCAGCCACTGTCCCTGCTGAGGGCCTTCAGCCTTTCCTGTCCCCCCTGGTGGCATGGCTTGTGGGGAGGGGTTATAATGCCCAGCAGCCGGCGTGAGGTGGGGTCACTGTGGGCAGGACGCTCCCTGAGAGATAAGGAAATTGAGGCAGGCAATAGGCTGCTGGGCATCCTGTGTGATATCGAGACCCCTAGCTGCAATGGGGTGCTGGCGGAGTGAGGTGGCAGCCGTCAGCCTGAGTGCGTCCCCAGCCCCTCCCTCACGGGCCTTCCTGGACCACATGATCCTCATGCACCCTGGGTTCTGGGGCCCTGGGCAAGGTGGGGTCGTGCCGGCCCATCAGGTCCCAGGAGCTGTGACCCCGTCTTTCTTAGTGCCTAGCAAGTGCCACCGAAGGGGTGCGGCTGGCAGCCCGGATCGTGGACACACCCTGCAACGAGATGCACACGGACACCTTCCTTGAGGTTACCCCAGGGGGCGGGGGACACCCTCGGGGCCACAGGGGACTGGGGTGCGCAGAGAGATCCAGGCCCCATACTGTATGGCTGCTTGGTGGTAGGGAGGTCCCCAGCTCCTGCATAGACTGTGGGGCGCTGTCTCCCCTCCAGGGCCCTCAGCAACTGAAGCCTGCAGGTAGAGGGCTGCAGAGCCGGGAGGGTGAGCCCCTTGCTGGGCTGGGGCCTGGGCAAGCCAGGAGGGCCCAGCCTCCTGGTCAGCGCCGTCACGTGCTTCCTTGGTAATTTTTCCATGAACCGTGTCCAGGAGATCAGGAAAGTCGGGAAAGACTTGGGGATCGTGCCGGCCGTCATCAGAGACGAGGAGCTGAAGACCAGAGGATTCGGAGGTGCATGGGCAGCCGCGGGGGCTGGGGGCTGGGTGTGTGTGTGCGTGGCACCATATGGCCACACTATTGCTGATTCATCCTGGTGGACCCTGGGATGAGCCAGCCAGCTCCACCCCAGCCTGGAGGAAGGAGGAGCCTGTAGCTTAACTTCTAGAAGCTTCTCTGTGCACCTCAACTGCTGCTTACCCTCACTCTGGGCTATCCCTGCAGGGTTTCTCTGTCCCCCCATATGCAAGCTCATGTCCAGCCAGGCTTCTACACTTGTGGCTCTGTATACCTGGGCCCACTGATACCGTGGACCTTAGGGGGACGGGAGGGGGTGCTCCCTGTGCCCCAGAGGCACTGAGGTAGCCACGGCGCAGCTTCGTGGAGAGGCCTGTGGCGTGGCGCCGGCATACAGTACTGTCGCTGTTTCACAGTTCAGGGGGTCAGGCACTGGGCGTGGCCTGGCTAGTGGACTGGTCCTGGGTGTCTCAGGAGGCGTGGATGGGGGACATCAGAAGGCTTCACTGGGGCCAGGGGATCTGCTTCCAGGAAGGCCTTCCTTGGGGTCATGGCTGTTGGCGTGGATCACAGTTCCTTGCTGCAGGGCCTCTCCATAGGCTTGCTCTCAGCGCGGGGCGTCACCAGCTGAGCACCCTGCAGCAAGGTCCCGAGTGAGAGGAGCCCGCCAGAAAGAAAGGCTCACTGTCCTGGGGTCAAATCCGACTCATGAAGTCAGGGTAGGGCTGCCCTGTGCGTTTCTGAGACCGTAACTTTTTGCAGGAGTAGAAAACCTCATCTTTCTCCCCTGAAGCAACTGGCGGTTTTGAACTGCCGAACTTGCAGTTAGTAGCCCAACTCGTACCCACTATGCCAGCAGGGCTCCTGCCCATCCCTAAGAAAGGGGGTGGGGGGAGATGCATTTATTTTATTTTGTTGTTAAAAAGATACACAGCAGAGCTTGCACCAGTTAACAACCGTGTGTTAACTTGGGTGACAAATTGTCCTCGCCCCCCCCCCTTCTGTGAGTAGTTCCTCCCCCATTGACATAAACGCACTGCGCCCTGTGGCTCCTGCCCCATCTTTCCAGTTCCTGTTGTCATTTGATCCCATGTTGATGGTTCTTAAAAGAGCACAGTGCTCTGAGCAGACATTCTCGCCTCGTTAAGCTAAACTACTGCTGAAAGGTCTTGGCGCATTTCATTAGAATGCAGTGCTTTGTCTTCTCTAGCTGCCCTTTGCAATGCGCTGTTCCGCTCCTGCTTCAATGTCTCTCGCAGTCCCTTTCCTGGCCTGCATTCCAGACAAACTTCCGTCTCTTCCGACTCCCACTTCGGCCTTTCTTTCATCCTAGCCTTTTCAATGGCCTTTTGCTTTCTTCACGGGTGATGTGCATGTTGCTATCCCTCAACTCACGGCCATACGCATCCGCCGTGTCAAATCTGCCCCTGGGGTCTCAAGGTCGTGACTGGGGCCCGCTTGGACTTGTTTCCATGTGCTTCACCTTCAACCAGAACTTGCACATGAGCAATCGATGGTCTGTTCCACAGTCAACCCCGGGCCTCCTTTTGGCTTCTGTTGTTGATCTGTTCCCATAGATACTACTGATTCGGTTCTGTGTATCCTCACCGGTGACGTCCATGTGTGGTTGTCACTGTTGTTAGGTGCCCTAGAGTTGCAGCCAACTCACATCAGCCCGTGTACGTCAGAACAGAACACTGCCTGGTCTTGCGTCCTCCAACCATCCCGTTACGTTGCTCTGTTTGAGGTTCTTGTGCAACCACTGTGACCATCCATCTCCTTGAGGGTCTTCCACTTTTTCGATGACCACCTGCTTCATGATCTCCTTCTCCAGGGACTGATAACATGTGCACAGTACATGGGACCAAGTCTGGCCATCGGTACCTCTAAGGAGCATTCTGGCTGTACTTGTTCCGAGACAGATTTACGGGATCTTCTAGCAGTGCACAGTACTTTTCCATATTCTCTGCCAGCACCATACATTCAGATGCTTCCGTTCTTCCTTGCTCTTCTTTATTCGGTCTCCGGCTTTGGCGTGCATGAGACGGTTGAAAATACCTAGACTGGGCTTAAGGCGCCTTCGAGTCCTCCAAGTGAGATGGCTTTGCTCCCCACCACTTTCAAGAGGTGTGTGGGGCGGAAGTTTCCCCCCACGCAGCCTGCCGTCTGCTTCCTTGACTGCTGCTTGTGTGAGCGTTGCCGATCGTGGGTCCAAGCCAAACGAAATCCTTAACACCTTCTGTCCTCGCCCGACTTGTCGCTGGTCGTCTGGTGGTACACTTGTGCGGATTCGGGGGTTCCTTACTTTGAACCTCAATCCATGGGGAAGGTTGGAGACTTTGTCTTCAGCAGCTTCAGGCCCCCCACTTTCAGCAAGCAAGGTTGTGTCAGCTGCCAACGCAGAACAACCCTCCAAGACAGAGTCCCCCTGCCCCTGCCGGTGTCTGAGATTGTAAGTCTTTAGGGCCGTTGAGTGCCTCATATTCCTCCCCAGGAGAAGCTGGTGGTTTCTGACTTGTGCTTCGAGCTTTGCCGACCTTGTTGTTGGCAGCCCCACGCATTGCTCACGGCACCCTGGAAGTCTTCTTCCATCCCCAGTGTTGACTTGTTCTTCCTACAATCCAGCGCCTTATGATGTTTGCCGAGTGTGCAGATGGAGTAAACCCAATGAGCTGTGGGCCTGACGCGCAGCTGTCCTGACCTTGAACCCTGCAGCAGTGCCTTTGTTCAGTCTGCCCAGCTGCCTCCGACGCTTCTACAGGGAAGCTCCGCAGAAACACGATGATGTGGAGTTCTGGAATTCCCGTGCCCATCAATGCTATCCCTTGTTTGTCCTGGTCCACACCGTTCCGATTCCTTGGCACAGTCAACAATACGCGTGTGAACATCTTTCTGGTATTCTCTGCTTATCCAAGCTCCATTTGACATCAGCAATGATAGGGTAGGTGCCACACCCTCTCCTGAATCTAACTTGAATTTCTGGCAGTTCCCTGTCATTATACTGCTGTGCCCATTTGTGGATTGTCTTCAGCAAAATTTTACTTGAATGTGATATTATTAACAGTGTTCGCTAATTTTTGCATTTTCTTTGGAATGGGTACAGAGTCTTCTCGTCTGGCCACGTGGCTGTCTTCCAAAGACCATGATATCAATGAGTGAAGTGCTGCTAGGGCTTTAGGGGCCTGGGGAAACATTCCCATTGGGATTCCATCAATTCTGGGGCTTTGTACTGGGCTGATGCCTTCCGTGAAACTTGGCTTCTTCCGCCAGCACCATTGGTTCTTGCTCATGGGCTACTTCTTGAAATGGCTGCATGTCAAAGTCTGTCTTTTTGGTACAGGGACTGTGTTTTCATTCCATCTTCGTTTGATGTGCCCTGTGTCATTTAATATTTGCCCATAGAATCTCTCGACACTGAACTCAAGTCTTGGATTTTTCTGGAGTTCTTCCGCTGGGTGAGGCTGAGCTGTTCTCTTTAGGGCTCACCTTCCAGGCCTTTGCATATTTCTTCAGAATTCTCTGTCTTCTTGGCACTGTGTTTGGGGATGTTCTGTTCAGCTCGTTCCCTTGATTGTCTCTCGGCCCCTTAGCTTCTGGACGGTCAAAAGCAGCTCTCAGAGGCCCCTCCAACTCCCACCGAGGTCTTTCCTCTGTTTCCTGTCTTCTTCATGTGTGATGGTCTTGATGTCCTCCCACAGCCCGGCTGGTCTTTGGGCATTAGTGTCTGTTCTTGAGGAGAGGAGACCTGTAGGTTTGGGTGGGATGTGATCCGGCTGTATTTTGATTCTCCTGGGCTTGTCTTAGTTTTCTTCAGCTTCAGTGTGAACTTGCACGTGAGCTCTTGATGGGTCTGCTCACGTCGGTCCCTGGCCTTGTTTTGACGGATGATATTGGGCTTCTCCATCATCTCTCCCGCAGACGTCGTTAAATGGATTCCCGCGTGTTCCATTTAGCGAGATCCATGTGTGTGGACGCCGTCTATGGTATTGAAAAAGAAACAGGCATTTACAGAGAAGTTACTGGTCATGCAAAATTCTTTCCAGTCTCTCTAGCTTTGCTTGTATCGCCACGGCTGTAGTGTCCAACTACCGATCCTTTCCAGCTTCTGAGTTCCAGTCGCCAGTAATGGTCCGCACACCTGGACCGCAGGTTTGATCAACTTCAGACTGAAGAAGTTGGTAGAATTATTTCTTCAGCACTGGCTTTAGCGATGGGCGCGTGAACTCGAATGATAGCTACACAAATGGCCTCATAGATGTGATTCTGCCCCAGTTGGCCTTGTTCTGCAAGACAGACCTTGAAATGTCCCTTTGGCTGATGAAGGCCACCTTGATCAAGCAGAGTGCCGGTGCAGAAGAGGGGGCCTATCCGTGAGAAGGGTGGGCGCAGAGACTGCAACAAGGGCTCCCAGGAGACCGTGCTGGCGAGGGTGGCTCAGGCCCAGGCACTGCTTCACTCTGGGGACCGCCAACGGGAAGGCACCCAGCAACAGCGCCGTGGAAGGAGCCTTCAGGGACGATGCTTATGTAAAGTTTGAAGAGGATCTCAGGGCAGTCGCTTCAGGCGTTCAGCCAGCCTCCCTGGCTCCAGGAAGTCTGGATTCCCTGAGAATTTGAAATTCTGCTCCCCATTTTCATTCGGATTCTGCTACAGAATCTGACCAGCACGTTCAATCATGGTAGGGCATCATCCAACTCTTCTCGTTTCCGACAAAGGAGGCAGTGTTCCTGGGGCCACTTAAGCCATAGAGCCCACGTCCTCTCGCTGGTTCAGGCTCTCCTTTCTCCGTCGTTCCACCGAGTAGTGACCAGGTGTTGTGGCTTGGAGGGCGGCTTGCGAGCTTTGGAAGACTGCCAGGCACTGTGCACCGTGGCTCAGTGGGGAGGAGAGGCAGCAGGTGACTGGGGCCTTCTGTTCTTTTGGCTGTGCTCACAAGGCACATCCAGCCCACCTGCAAGGACAGGGGCCCCACAAGGACAGGCATAGACACCAGCACCAACTTCAGGTGGAGGAAGAGGTCCCTTTGCAGCGAAGGCATCAGGGAGAAGGGGCCCTGTGCAGTGGGTCTTGCAGGATGAGGAGGAGTTTGCCAGGCAGCCATTACTGGCTGGTGCTACAGTGGCTGATGTTTCCAGCTCCGTGATTGGAGGTCCTTGACAGCAAAGCCACGGGCTTTGTCTCCCATGCTGAGAAGCAGTGGCCTGTAAGCCGGACGGTTAGACAAGGGTGGAAGGAAGGTGGTGTGCGCGTGGGGCAGGATGCTGCCTGGCCCAAAGCAGAGAGGGCTCAGACGGCAGCCGGGCAGGGGTGGGTGGCCTCGCAGCCTTTGCAGATTCACTCAGGCCTGCAGTCCTGTTCTTTCCTTCCGGGAAGGACACAGTGTGCACGCTCAGTGGGTTTTCTTGCTGAATCAGCCTTGGCGTCCATTGCATTCATGGCCCCTGAGTGATGGGGTGGATTTGTATTCCTTGACCCAATGCTGGCCAGGCTGGGGAGGGTGGGGCACCAGGCCGGGGCAGCTGATGCTTCCATGAACAGGCTTCGGCCAGTCTTGGGGGCCGGGTATGTGTGTGTGTGTGTGTGTGTCCGTGCATGGTCTGTAAGTCAGTGTGGGGAGTGGGGGAGGCTCCTCAGACCATTGGTGTGGAGCTCTGTGAGCCGGCGAAGGGCAGCCAAGGTCTCTCACTGGGAGTGGACCGTCCAGGGACTGGTGGGTCGGGGGTGGGGGGTGTCCTCTGCCCAGTCCAGCCTTGGCCTGATGGAGCCTGCTCCTCTCTCTGTAGGAATCTATGGAGTTGGCAAAGCCGCCCAGCACCCACCCGCTCTGGCTGTCCTCAGCCACAGCCCAGAAGGGGCCACGCAGACCATTGCCTGGGTGGGCAAGGGCATCGTCTACGACACCGGGGGCCTCAGCATCAAGGGGAAGGTGAGGGCTGTGTGGGCCCTGGGGGAGGTCCGGGGGGCACTCAGCACTCGGTGGGCAGCGGGGCCATGGAGAGGCAGGGAGGATCCTGGAAGTGCCTGATCAGGACCTAGCTCTAGGGAGCGAGTGGCCAGGACGAGCCTCACAGGAGGAGTAGCCGCTTTCAAGGGACCCCTGACTTCGTGTCCACACGTCCGGTGGGGAGTCTGGGAATCAGAGGCCTGGGCGGGATGCAGAGGTGACTCAGGGCTGGAGAACGGACCAGGGAAACGAGGGTCGTGGAGGCCCCCCGGGGCTGGTGTTGTCTGAGGAGAAGGAGGTGCTAGGGGTGTTCACGTCCTCACTGTTGTCCACCTGGGACACCGCCTCGGTGCACGGGGCCCACCTGGACTCCGCTGGCCACAGGCGGCCTGGGAGCGTGGCTCTATCATGGCCAGTGCTGATGGGCTCTCCGGGCAGCAGCTTGCAGAACGGGCACTTGGAATGGCATCCAGCTAGGCGTCCAGCTAGAGTGGCCAGCTCTTCTCCACACTTGGCATGTTCCGGGTCTGTGTGGGCCCCAGGCCCAGAGTTGGGCCAGGGCACCTCCGTACCTTCACCCCACAGCCCGGGCTTGGGGACAGGACTGTGGTCGGAGCAGCCCAAGCGTGAGGTGTCTGCTGAGGGGCACCAGCAAGAAGAGACTCCCACGGACTGGGAGAGAAGACTTAGGAGCAGGGGACAGGCCGGGGCCACCCCGAGCGGACGATGACAACTGGCAGCCCCGTGGCTTCCCAGTGCGCCCTCTCAGCTCCAGCGATGGTCTCCACTTGGGAACACAGGCGCACTGCCACGGAGTCCCTGAGCCCAGGCTCACAACCTCTGGAAGCAGGACGAGCTCTGGTAGCAGCTGCTGTTTCCGACAGGGATTGAGCTGCCGCTCATGCGTTTCCGGCAGAGCTGGCATGCTGGATAAACCAAAACCAACCTCACCGCCATGGAGTCGACGCCGGCTCACAGCGACCCTGTAGGGCAGGGCCAAACTGCCCCCGCGAGTTTCTGAGACTCGCTGTGAGGAGAGGAGAAAGCCCCACCTGTCTCCAGCAGAGCAGCTGGTGGTTTTGAACCACTGACCTTAGGGTTAGCAGCCCCGCGTCTGACCACTAGGCCACCAGGGCGCCTCGGGTGTTGGATGCCTGTCTAGAATGTTTGCCGGGCGGTCACGCTTTTTAATATCGCCTCCTCCGAGGGACAAGTTAGTTTTGGTCAGGATGACTCGAGGAAGGAGATTAATGAGAATAATAATGATTACGTAACCTCACCGGTTGTTGAACACTCTTTGGTAAAAATCCATGCATGTTACCACACCAGGGACAAACGAAAAAGAACCCCCATGTTCTCAGACACCCTCCAAGCCTGGGCCTGAGCTCCCTCCAGGGGCTCAACTTTCAGCCAAACAATAGATCTGCCCCTTGAACACAGCCACCCTACAGGACAGGGCCAAACATCCCCTCTGGCCTTCTGGGGCTGGCTCTTTACAGAGCCGAGAGTCTCCTCTCCTTCCTGTGGAGCAGCGGGTGGTTTCAAACTGACGGCCTCGCAGTTTGCAGCCCAGTTTGACAACCACTACTCAACCGGTGCCACGTGAGTCAGAATCCGCTCGCTGGCAGTGAGATTGCCGTTTCTGTTGGCTTGCTTTTGAGATAAGGTGGGGGACGCACTCCAGCCAGCCAAACAGGATCCACAGGGCAGCACTGGCCCAGAGATAAGATAAGGCTGGGAAGGCAGGAAGCCCCAGGCAAGAGAAAGGGGAAGAAGTGACCAGAGTGTGATTCCATCATCGGGCTGGAGACCCAGACCCCATGGTAGACTCCCTCAGTGGACCCTGTGCGCTGCAAACGTTCACCCAAGTCAAAAGCTTTTAAAGAAAATATTAGATTAAAAATGTAAGAAAGGAACTATTCTAGCCCAGAGGAGGAAGACAGTGATGGGCTGAGGTTTCTGAAGAGGGCTCTCAGCCTTAGCACCAGCCTGCTCGCCAGCCTCAGGACCCTGGGTGTCCGGTGGAGAAGGAGGCGAATGCCCAGCCGGAAGGAAGCTCCGGAGAGGGCAAGTGAGCAGAGCCCCGGGACACTTGTCCAGAAGCCCCTGCAGCAGGGATGTGGTACCGGTCCTTGACCGCGTGCTGCTGCCCAGAATGTCTGGATCACCATGAGCTCCCGAGAGGGCCGCCTTCCTCCGACCTAATCAGTCCCCGCTCTCAGTCCTGGCTCAGTGTCACATGTGCGAGATGCATCCTCTCGTTTGCTGTCTCAGCTGAAGAATCAAAAAAGGAGAGAAGGTTTCTCTGGTTTGGTTTTCTCCTAAAGATCCTTACTGGACGTTTCAAAAAAGCTCTGCCCTGGCGTGGGTCCCTGTGGCACTAGATCCGTGGTCCCCATGGCACTAGATCCGTGGTCCCCGTGGCACTAGATCCGTGGATCCCGGTGGCACTAGATCTGTGGTCTCTGTGGCACTAGATCGGAACGTTATTTTGATCTTCAAGTCTTCTGCATAGTTATCCCCAACTTCATCCAGACTGTTCCTTGCTGGTGTATATGGGAAAGACACAAGGGCCAGCTCTCACCCCTGGTCAGGCTTCAGTCCGCGTGGACCCACAGGCACTCTGGATGAATAGGAAAATCTTTAAAATAACAACCCCTAAAAACCCATTGTAGTGGAATCCCGTCTGACTCCTAGCCACCCTGCAAGTCAGAGCAGAACAGCCCCCCAGTTTCCAAAGCACCCATCTTTACCAAAGCAGAGGGCCACACCTTCCTCCCGCTACACAGCCAAAGGGCTGAAACCTCTTGGTGGGCTCCCTCCTGGTAGCAAGGGCACCCACCGCCAGGGACCTGGGTGTGAAATGCATTCATTTTCACTGGGAAGAGTCACTCACAGGCAGCAACAGATGCCCAGTTAGGAAAGGTCTTTAACCAAAGGATCCTTTGGCTGAGATTTAGAAAAACCCAATCACGGTAAATTCCAGAACTTACAATGACATCCATGTCTTTGGTTGTTTGGAATTGATTCAGCAGCTTGCAAATGTTTATGAGAAAGAAATACACACACACACACACACACACACACACACACACACACACTTCCAGGTGGTCATAGAGGCCCACAGACTTGCAGCACGCGAGGCTGGTGTCTGATTCACAGTCACTGTACCCTTGTCCTTTCTTCCGAATCTGCCCTGGAATCCCGGGGAGGGGAGGTGCCACAGGCTGGGGAGACAGCAGCCATGCCGGAGGTGAACCCCGAGGACTCTGCACATAGAAAGGGGTTCTCAAGTCTAGGCCTGCAGCGCCAACAGTGCAGATGGGGCCACTCACCTTCATGATATGCTGACACACGTGGGGTACTTTTATGACGAAGAGAACGGTATTATCCAAAGCAAATGGTTTAGTGAGAAGGGTGTGGTCGTTTTACATCTTGGCATGTCTCCTGAGTCCTAGCTTTAATGGGAGACCGGGTCTCACCTTCTCGGCTTCTACCTTTAGTCGGTCGCGATTGGCTGCTCCCGTTGACCTGTATCAAGGACGTCTAGCCTCGGCGATGTAGGCAGTTGAGAAGGGAGAAGTATTTTTAGTAGCCATTTTATGATGGCTATGGAAATGATTCTTTGACACTCTACCAGAATTCGACAAGAGGTCGTTTCTGGCAGGTCGGGTCCAGGGTGGGGTCTGTGGGGACTCCTGCGCTGTTCCGTTGACATCCATCCGCCTCACACTGTGGATGTGAGATGTAGGGATGTTGTGTCGGATCCCTTGGAAAATCCTTGGCCCTCAGAGTTAGGTAGTGCCTTCTTGCAGACTGGACAGCGAGCTTTCACTCAGAACTCCCGCTGTGGAAGCAGCTCCATTTATACCTGACAGTCCTCTCTTCCCCCCTCCTACCGCGCCCCCGAAATGAGAGGTTCCCGGGGGGCTCAAACACCTCCAACCATGCCGAGTGACCCGCTGTTGCAAAGCACAGGCTGGTCCATTAGTAATGGGCAGCCACATCTCAAAGTGGGTAACCACTCTCCTTCACCCGGTTTGCCGGGAAGAAAGAGCATTCACCCTGGGGGCAGGGCCACTGGAGGGGTCCCCTGTAAGAGCGGAACTTGGGGCTGTGGACTGGGCACTGGAAGGGGCAGCAGTGCTGGAGGGTGTCCCCAGGGATGGGGTATGTCGTGGTGGAGTTTGAAGGAACCCTTGGCCTTTGGTGTCAGGTGGGGTGGTCGGTACCAGGACCCTCTGTAGGAAGGTAGCCTCGGGCAGCGTGGGGCGGAGGCTCCGAGTTCTGTGTGTGCCCAGGTTACCTGGCAAGAACCTGTGCCGTACATGGCCCGTGGGGAACCACAGGGCAGGTGGCATCACTCATTGAACAGCCCTCACCCCACCCCATGCCTCCCACAGACCACCATGCCCGGGATGAAGCGAGACTGTGGCGGGGCGGCCGCGATCCTGGGAGCCTTCCAAGCTGCAGTCAAACAGGTGAGAGGCTGCCTCGAGGGAGGGGCTGGTCTGCAGACCCCCAGCGGGGCATCACCCTCCCCCAGCCAGAGCCAGGCTCCACCCATCCAGTTCTAATCTAAGATGGGAGGACCTGCCCACCTCCTGCCCCCTCACACTCAGCCTGGGAGAGGCTGGCTGGTTTGAGCCAGAGAGAACCACGCCCACCCCACCCCGTCCCCTGGAGGTGCCGAGGCCCAGGGGTCCCTCCTGGAGGTGGGAGGTGGACCCAGTCCCCAGGGGCGCCCACCTGGTGAGGGTGTTCCTTGTGCTTAGGAGACACTACAAGGTTGGGGGCTCTGGGAAAGGGCCCCCTGAAGTGACTTTGGGGAGCTGATGGTGGTGACTCCGTGGTGCTGTGTGAGGGGTGGGGTCGACAGCACTGGGTGGGTGATGGATGGGTGGCCGACAGCACAGGGGTGCCTGTTCTTTCAGATGGAGGCCTGCCCCGCTTCCCACCATGAGCAGTGATATAGCACGCCGGCGTGGTGACGAGGACATCATGGTCCTGAGGGGGGTTTACTCCAGGCCGCACCCACCCGGGGAGAAGGCTCTTGCATGGGGGTGGGGGGTGGCTGGTTCCCACCGTGTCAACGGCAGTTGATCCGTTCACAGGAACAAGCAAGGGCAGGGGGGCTCCAGCTCGCCATCCTGCCCGAGGTGCCACCTTGGTAAATGTGAAAGACGGAGCGTTCTCGGCAAACACTTTCTTGCCAGGCGACTGCCCCCCCCAAGAGAAGTGGAGGCTCAGGCTGTGCTGGAAGCCAGGTCCCTGTAGAGCCCAGGTGGCTCCATCCTCTGTAGCGCGTGTCGCCGACCAGAGACCAGCGAGGATTTGTGCCCAACATCCATCGGGGCATGCAGCCCTCCCTTGCCCCCAGGGCAGTTGGCACCGGAGCCCGATGCCGCCCTGAAGGACTTCGATGCCGGCAGAGAGCCCAAGCTCTCTGTTCACCGGTGGCTGGCACTGAGTGCCCGTGCCCAAAGCTGCCCTGGCACCTGGCTGGGCTGGCCAAGGAACAGCCAGCAGGTGATACTCTGACTCAAGTCCCTGCTCAGGGGGGGGGCCACTTGGCAATTAACACTGATTCATCCGCTGGCAGGCAGTGTGGGTCGCAGGGTGCCACAGCCGTGCCACCTGTAGGTACCAAGGACCCCGCTGCACCTCGGCTCCCGATCGTATCAGCCCCTCCCCAGAGCCCCAGCTTGGCGGCCGCGTGACCTTGCCTTCATACACCAGCTCCGTCCTGACCGAGGCTCTGCACCAAACCAAGACTGGTCTTCGCGCGTTCTGGCCCACAGGACTTTGCTCTCCACGGTGGTCTGGCTGTCAGCGAGTGCATAAGTACCTGGGGGAAGAAACCCGTTTCTGACAGCCGAGTTCTAACTCACCACTGTGGAGGGGATGGGAGAAGCAGAAACCCCCATTTGGCAAGCCAGGCATGGCCATCATTACGGGAGGGAAGAAGGCCGCGCAGATGCTGGCCCTGGGGGCCACGGGGAGGGGGCTCCAAGAGCCTCAGTTCAGACGCGCACCGTCGCGGCTGCAGAAGGTGGGAGTGCCGCGCAGATCCTGGCCCGGAGGCCACAGGCGGAGGGGGTCAGCGGGCATCGCTGGCGTTTAGACACACAGACGCGCCTCCCCGGTCTGGGATCAGAGGTTGACCCCAGACGACTTGTCTCGGTCTCTTGACGGTGCCTTCCCATGGAGGGATGCTTTCTGTGCTCGAGGGGAAGAAAGGTTGTGCAGTCAGGGCTCATCCTCAGCAAAAGTCAAGTCTCTGAGACTTTGCAACCAGGTTCCCTGGCATGTTGCCCCGAGAACGGCAGCACGTGGGTGTGGAAGGCCCGCAAGATGAACTCCAGGCAGAAGCCAGCTCAGAAGGGTGGGTGACCGTTCCAGGGATTCCGAGTGGTCATCTTGGTAGAATGTCTTGAAGGGCATGGACAGCCACAGGAAGTGGACAGCTGTGTTGTTGAGAGACAGCCCCGGAAAAACATCTCCCCAAGGATCCCCCCGCCCCCCCATCCTGACAATGCACCTGCTCATCTTTCTTGAGCCGCAAGGGCTGTCCTAGGAGAATTTTACTGGGAACTATGACCCTGTCCACCCTACGGGCCCCGGGCTGGCCCTATTGCTTCTTCTTGTTCCCCAAACTCAAGGAACATGGACACGGAGCCTGGGCTGAGTCCCTCCCACATGCTAACGCAACAGAGATGAGGCTTTCTGCTCGTCTACAGCCTTGGAAACCCACAGGGACAGTCCCTCTCCTTAGGATGGCTGTAAGGTTGGCACCCACTCGACAGTAGTGAGTCGTCTGGAGGGTGCTCGAACCACTGAGGTGGAGAAGCCGTGGAGAAACCACAGCTGCACCTCTTGATGGGTTTTGGCTTCCTAACAGGTTCTGTAGCCAATCGGGGTGGCGTGGCGGGTGCCCCGGTAAGCCACGCTGTAGGGCCGAGGTTCAGAACCACCAGCTGCATGGGAGAAAGATGAGGTGTGCTCCTCCCACAGAGCTGCGGTCGCAAACCCACAGGGGAGGTTCTACCCCGTCCGGTAGGGTCACTGTGCGTTGGCATTGACGCAGTGCCAGTGAGGGGGCTCTTGCGTCAGCGGTTTTGTCGCAGTGCTTCTGCACTGGCCCTGCTGCGATGAGAAGCACAAGGTCGTGGCTGGTTACGGGGGAGAAGCTCAGAAAATAACCCCTCCTGCCTGCAGTTTTGAGCCAGTTGACAATCCCCGAAATGCCACCTTCCTGTGCCCCCCCACAGGCATGTGTGCACGTGTGCGCACACACACTCCTTCCTTTAGTCCAGAGAATGCACGCCTACAGGACTTGTGAAGAGAGGGTCTGGATGTGGAGGCCCCGCTCTGCCTGTCTGTCTGTCTGTCTGTCTGTCTGCTGGGCCAGAGAGGCCACAGCCTGCACCCTCTCCTCGCAGGGCTTCAAAGACAACCTCCACGCCGTCTTCTGTCTGGCAGAGAATGCTGTAGGGCCCAGCGCCACCAGGCCGGACGACATCCACCTGCTGTACTCGGGAAAGTAAGCCAGGTCCACCCCCCCTGGGGCCCCACCCCCACCCCAGGCCAGCTTCCACAGAACTGCCCCACCTGCGCTGCCCTGCCCTGCCCACGCCGGCCTCTGGGGAGAAGCGGCCAGGTCAGAGGCAGACCCTGTTGAAGCGTGCTCTGAACCTGGGATCCTGCAGCCGCAAGGCCGAGGCTAACAGGCTGCTCTGGCTTTCGGGGACACGGAGTGGCCCCCGACCCCTGGGCTAGCTGAGCTTCGGGTATTTGAAGCCCGCCTCTGGAGTCTGTGCATCTCAGCTGCACAAGGCCCCGCTTAGCAGTTCCCTGGTGAGCATGAGAGAAGTGGGGCTCAGGGTGGCAGCCCGAGGCCCCACTCATCCTTGCACCCCCTAGCCCATCCCAGGCCCCGCCCATGTTATAGATGGGGAAACTGAGGCCGGGGCCTGTGTGAATGGCTTCTGCTCTGACCACACGCTGTGTTGCTGGGGTGTGGGGACACTCACTCCCGGTGCCCCCTCGGACGGAACCCCGTGCCCAGGACCGTGGAGATCAACAACACGGATGCGGAGGGTCGCCTGGTGCTGGCCGACGGCGTGGCCTATGCCTGCAATGACCTGGGAGCCGACATCATCCTGGACATGGCCACACTGACCGGGGCGCAGGTGGGTGTGCTGGCCGGGCTGTAGAGGGCTTCCCTGCCCCCCCGGCTGCATCCCCCGTGACCCTCCCGTCCCTCTGGCCCAGGCCATCGCCACAGGGAAGTACCATGCCGCAGTGCTCACCAACAGTGCCGTGTGGGAGGCAGCCTGTGTGACCGCCGGCCGCAAGTGCGGGGACCTGGTGCACCCGCTGGTCTACTGCCCGGAGCTGCACTTCAGCGAGTTCACCTCGGCCGTGGCTGACATGAAGAACTCCGTGGCGGTGAGTGTGTGGCTGGTTGGGGGGCAGAGGAGGGTGGGAAGACCGTGCCCCCCCCAGGAGACAGCGGGGGGGCCACGGGGGGAGGAGGGTGTGTGCTCAGGTGACCTGGACATGCCTCTAACTGCCCTACCAGCCACACCACATCACCCTGGGGGCCTCTTCTTGGCTCTGGAGTCTGACTCTGAAGGGTGGGGGCAGGCTGTGGAGGGGAGCCAGGCATCTTGGGGGGTAGGAGACAGAGGTCATCGTCTTCCCTGACCCCCAGGACCGGGACAACAGCCCCAGCTCCTGTGCCGGCCTCTTCATCGCCTCCCACATCGGCTTCGACTGGCCAGGGGTCTGGGTCCACCTGGACATCGCGGCGCCTGTGCATACTGTGAGTAGCTGGGGCCCCCTCTGAGCTGTGTGTGGCCTGATGGCCTCCCTGCCGGCCCTCTGGGGGGATCCTACCCCCCACCCCCCACTCTCAGTTAGGGCTCTTCTGGCACTATCTGGCAGGCTGCCTCTCCCCTCTCCCCTCCCCCCACCAGCTTGGGCCATCCCACCCTCATGGGCTCGACCGTCCATCCCTCCCTCCCTCCTTGGCGCTGGAGTTGCAGGCCGAGGTCAGCAGAAACTGTGTGTGGCAGGTCATGTGGCCTGTGGCCCATCCCCGGCCAGCTGTGGGCCCCCCAACCTCTGGCTCCTGGTCCCCAGGAACAGAATGGCTGCTGTGTGAATGGCCGGGCCTCTCCTGTAGCTGAGGAGACCTGGGTTGCAGCATTCAGCCTTGACCCCCACCCCCCCACTACCTGTCCCTGCTCATGGCCCCAGAGTGTGGCAGAGGCTGTGGGGTGGACCAAGAGGGCTCCTGGGGTGAGGGGCAGAGAGCCCCACAGCTCACCCACGCTCCCCCCACCCTCTGCCCACAGGGAGAGCGGGCCACGGGCTTCGGCGTGGCCCTGCTTCTGGCCCTATTTGGCCAGGCCTCTGAGGACCCCCTGCTGAACCTGGTGTCTCCGCTGGGCTGCGAGGCCAACACCCAGGCCCAGGACACGGAGCAGGATTCCAAGCGCCGCCGCCTGGTGTGACTGCCGCCGCCCCAGCCCCCTGGTTCTTTACCTCACTTGGCACTGACGACGTTTAAACCATTAAAGATTACCCCTTGAAACGGGCCTGGGGACGGTGTTTGTGACGGAGGTGGCTTGTCCTTGGGTCTTAGATGACAGCTCTGGGCTTGGGGTGGGGCGATTCCCACTGGTGACACCCCCGCTCTCACACACACACTCACACACACACACTCACACTGCTGTGGCAGGAGTGGGAGCACGGGGAGCGTGGGCTCCATCCCTTCGAGGAGGGCAGGCCTTCATTCCGGCCCGGAGAGCTTGCCGGCTGGCTTCAGTTCAGCACAGCCGGACTCCCTGTTTCCTTCTGTCCTCCAGCCCGGAGGCCGAGTCAGGATCAGGCCTGCCTCCGTTTCTTCACCAGGTCTGAAGGACCCTGGCAGGGATGGGACCAAGCTTGACTGCCCGGCAGTGTGCAGGAGAGACCCGAGCCAGGAGACGAGGCACCTGCCTGGCCTGGTGGGTGGGGTGCTTTCCAGGTTCCCAGGTCCAGAGTCACCCGGAGTCGGGGGAAGGGGCTCTGGGCTCCCTAGCAGGGCCCAGGCCTGTTTATTCAGCACAGCCCACCTTGTCTCTGGACATAATGACGCCTGGCGTGTGGGGGTTGGAAGTGATTTGCCGGGGCCTGGAGACCCCATGCCTTGGACAGTGCAGGTGGGCCTTTGTCCCTCGGCCGCCCTGTGTGTCCTATCTCGGGCTGCACAGGGAGGCTCAGCTGCCCTTCTGTCGGGGCGCGTCCTGGGCTCCACAGCCACCTCTGCCCGGCCAGCAGTCCCAGGAAATCAAGAGGATACTGCAAGAGCTTTGTGCCATGCTCATGTTTATTAACAGCCTGGCCGAGACCCAGCAGAGCCCTGCACGGGCCCTCCTGCCCCAGGAACGCAGGGGCGGTGGCGTTTGAACACAGTGGCCTGCATGGGTCGTTGGGCAGCTTAATGGCTTTGGGCCTGGTGGCTGTCCACCAGCTCTCCTCTGAGCTGCCCCCAGGCAGGCCCCGGTCAGCCGTGGCAGCTGGCCCTGCACCCTCCACTCCCCCAGGGGGCTGGTCCTGTGGATGCAGGATGCAGGGTCAAGGGGCAGGGAGGGACTGAGTGTCCCTTGTGTGGGCACAAAGGCAGCCTCAGGGCGAGACCCAGCTGGGCACCAGCTGCAGGCCCGGCCGGCTAGCCTGCGTGCAGGGTCTGGGGCAGTGGGGTGAACCACCAGCCGGCTTGCAGCAGGGCCTTCCGAGAGCGGGAAGGGCCCTAGGCAGCGTCCCCCAGGCTGGCTGGGGCCCTGGCGGCAGGTTCAGCAGTGTCCTGCCGGCGGGTCCACTTGATCATGGTCTCGGGCGAGCGGTAGAGGAACAGGAGCTTGTGGAAGAGGCGCTGCTCCAGCTCCAGGGCGCCCTGCTCGCGCGCCAGGAAGATGTCCGTGCACAGCGCCAGCACCCGGTCCACCGAGGGCAGCTCGTCGAACATGATGGAGCGCGAGATGCCGTGGAAGTGCTCGCGGATGAACTTGGCGGCCACCATCACCACCGACACGTACAGCCCCACGATGCTGGGGGAGGGGGAGGGCGGGGCCACCGTCACCACGAGGGAGGGACCCCACGATGCTGGGAGGCGGGGCCACCAACACCCTGCCCCGGGATGCTGGCGGAGGGGAAGGGACTGCTAGAACCACCATATGGACAGACTGACGATGCTGGGGGGGAGGGGGGAGGCCACCATCACCACCAACTTCGCACAGCCCCACGTGGGACCAGAGGGCAGGGTCTGCCCATCAGGGGCTGTCAGTGGCTTTGCCAACACCGTGTCCCACCTGGCAATCTCAGGAGCCACCCGGGGCTGCAGGGCAGATGGGTGCCCACCTGGTCCTGTGGCAGGAACAGGGACTAGGGATGGAGTCAGCGCACCTCTGAGCTGACAGGCCTGGGGAAGGGCAGACCCACAGCTGCCCAATCAATTTGGGTTCCTAGCAACCCCAGAGGACGAGGCAGTGGCCCCACAGGGTTTCCTAGACTGCCAGATGGAAGCAGATGGCCTCTCTCCCACTGAGCAGCTGGCTCGGGCACTCAGACAACCCACCTTTCTGTTCGCAGTCGGCACGTAACCACTGGACCCACCAGGGCTCCTTCAGCAGGCAGGTGGGGGGGCAGATTCAAGGGTTGCTACCGCAGTTCTGGGAAGGGGGGTGGGCACTCATGGGGCAGCGAGTACCAGGTGCCAGACTGAGGCTGGGGCTTACCCATATCCTGCGAGGAAGCCCAGGCTCTGGGGGCTCACTTTGTCGTTGAACACCAGGACCTCCAGGTCCTGGCTGCAGCCCCAGTTCTGGTCACAGTTGGGTCTCCACTCCTGGACCACCCACCACTCGGCTGCCGGGCTGGCCTCGGGGGAACCGGTGGGCCAAAGCTGCTGCAGCCGGATGGTAGCATTGCGGAAGAAGGCCAGACGGTCTATGTCCTGCGGCCTCGGGGAGTGGGCTGGGGGAGAGGGTGCCATCAGTGGCACCCTAGGGCTGGGACCTCCAACAGGATGATGTGGCTCCACGGTGCTGGAAGACCACCAGCCGTGACGAAGGAGATCCTGACCTCATGGGAGCTCTTGATGCGGACCTGGCCTCACTGAGCCCTGCACTCCAACATAGCTTCTGCCCTTGCCCCCAAAGAAGGCTCTTAGCCCCAAGGGGACTCCATGACCGCTGGCTACAGGGCGCAGGGGCCAGTCCACATGCCCAAGGGTTGGACTTGGGACTGGAGGACACCGCCATCAAGCCCTCTGTACTGGGCTGGCCCTCAAGCTGGGGCCTGTCCCCCAACAGCTGGCTTGGTCTAGCCAGCCTCACTAGGGGTGGGGCAGGGCACCCAGAGAAGCCAGCACCCCTCAGTGGGTGACCAACCTTACCCACGTCCAATCGGAGGGCCATTTTCGCCTCAGTCCCCGCTGTGGTCCGGAGGGCTTTGGGGATCAGACCGGGGAGCATTCTGAAAACAAAAATCACAATTAAAAGCCCCCAGGCCTTTGTTTACTTAGTCAATTGAACAATTAGGACAGCCTGGCAGAAACCAGCTGTGGGATACAGGCTGTGCATAGAGAGAAAGCTGCTCAGGGGCCTCTGAACCACTTCCCGCCTGGAAAGCCATCTAGGGGGAACTGGGGAAATCCCGGCTAACTTCCCTCAGGGACCAGTGGCTTCCTGGTTGCAGTTGGACCTCCCGGGCCTGACTGCTGTGCAGGCCTGAAGCCAGCTCCCTCGGCCGCTAACACTTAATAAGCACACACCTCCCGAGAATCGTCCGGTGACTTGGGAACTCAGCACCCAGGAGGAGACCCAGAGCAACCCACGAGACTGGGTGCGCCCACAGACTCAGCTCTACTGGGAGGTGATAGGGAGTGGGCGAGACTTGCAAGCAGCAGCCAGGTGAGGTGCTGGCAAGCCTGCCCAGATAGCTGACGTGCAGTCCCAGGGCACACACAATCAAGGGGACGTGGGTGGGAGCCTGGGCCGCCGTCTTGGGCAGTTCTGGCACACTTTCTGCTTCTCGCAGGCTCAGTAGACGACCGGCCAGACAGTGTGCTTTGGTGGGTGCGAGCTGTGAGGCCGGAAGGGCCAGGTAGAAGATGGGGCCAGTTCCTGAGGCTCATCACAGCCAGCTCACAGCGAGCTGGGATTTAGGCTTCGGTGTCCTCCTCTGTGATGTGACCGGGCCCTGGGACTGGACACAGGACAGGGCAGTGGAGGAGAGAGCCTCATCTTTCCCCTGTGGCCCTCCTGGTGGTTTCGAACTGCTGACCTTGTACGTCAACAGCCAAACCTGTAACCCACTGTGCCACGGGGCACTGTGCAGGGCAGGGGGTCCCCCTGGTCACCTACACGGGTTCCTTCCTGGCGTGGGCGAGCATCTGGAGCAGCTGGCCCTGAGTTTCCTGGTCTGCGTAGCACACTGTGTGTTTGCCAGAAGCTTCCACGTTCCTCACCAGAGACACATTCCTGTGGAGGGGAGGAGGGAGGCATGGATGGGCTGGAGGTGAGCCCGTGGGTAGGGGGGTGTCTCCTCCTGAGGCGGGGCAGAGACACAGCACAGCCCTGTGTATTCCTGGGCTCTGGCCAAGAACAGCTATCAGTAGACAGCCCCGGATGCAGGCACAGGCCGAGGGAACGGTGCTGGCGTAGTGCTGCCGGAATGGCATCTCAGAAGCCTCTGCAGGCCCCCCCATGCCGGGCCTCGGCACACCTAGCATACCTGCATCCACTCCCTCGTTCATTCAACGAAACCAAAACAGCACCAACCGGACTGCGGTCAAGTCAATGCTGACTCATAGCAACCCCCCGTGAGCCCCAAACAGGATAAGCTCAAAGCAAACCATGCCCCGATACAGCACAATCAAGTGACCGAAAACCAAACATAAACACACGATGCTGATTCTTTTAAAGAATTGTAATGAAGGGAAAGAAGGTGAGGAAGAAGAGGAGGAGGGGAGACCGTCCCTGACCCACAGAGACCCAAATATTTCTTTCCTAGCTCTCCATGGGCAAAGTTTGTCTGCCTCTGGCAAAACAAGTCACAGGCAAAAGGCCAGACCAGGCCAAATGGAGCACACACGACCCACGGATTTCAGAAAGAGAAGACTTCTAAACAAGCAAGTGAAACGTCACCAGGTGTTGTTAGCAGGAGAGTTGCTCAAAAGTAAAGAATTCATTTGCCACGAAAAACCCTAAATGTGCACACCCCTATGGAGGCCCCCCACATAATCCCACACCTGAAAGGAGAAAGAGATAAACTGACAATGCTGTCTGAAGACTTCAAATTGTCGTTCTCAGCACCCCATTGAGTGGACCCACTCCACTGGCATCTCTGAGTCCCTTCATAAGGACCCTGCGTAGGTGTTCTGGGGCTGGAGATCTTTACAGGGGCAGCTGCCTCATCTTTCTTCTCCCAAACTGCCGGTAGGTTCGAACCGCTGACCTTGTGGTTAGAGAGAAGAGCGCATTTAGTCTGAAGAGTGTGGACTAGAGCTAGTTGATAATCACTGACCACTTCAGCCAGCAGGACCAGCATGCCCTTCTCAAACGCATTGGGAACATCCCCCTAAATAGACTCCCTGGTAAACAACACGAAACCAGACACATTTTAAAGGATTGAACTGGTGCAAACTATGTCCTCTGGCCACAATGGTTCTGCACACATTTGGAAATTAAGCAACACACTACATTTCCAAGTAGCCTGCAATTCCAAGAAGTCTCAGATAAGGGAAACACACACGGAGGAACTAGGAAAGGAACTAGCCACTTATTCAAACGTAATGACCGTGGGAGACATGATCAAGACAAGACGTAAACGAGTGAAAGTCAGAGGGAGAGAGCACTGGGCTCGCTGTATGTGAGTCGTCGCAAGACTGCTCATCCATCGGAAAGCTCTGAGCCTGAACCCAACTGAGCGACCGGTGCAGGAACATGAATAAATCTCAAGTAATTATGCTGAGTGAAAATAAACGTGTATGATAATCTACTATGTTCCATATGGTTCTAGTCATTTAAAATATAAAATACTCTAAATTTGAAATAATCTATAGTTCCAGAACAGACCAGAGTTTCCCTGGGAACAGGATTGGGTAAAGTTAGAAGGATTACAAAAGAGCACTATATATACATACATACACACATGCACATATTATATACACACATGCATACACATGAATATATTATATACACACATGCATACACATGGATATATTCTACATACACACATGCATACACACGAACATATTATATACACATGTATACACGTGGATATATTATATACACATATGCATACACACGAGCATATTATAAACACACATGAATATATTATATACACACATGTGTGTACACATGGATATATTATATGCACATGCATACACACGAACATATTGTATACACACATGCATACACATGAACACACATACACATGCATACACATGAATATATTATATACACACATGTGCATACACATGGATATATTATATACACATGCATACACATGAACATATATATATGCATATGCATACACATGAACACATATACACACATGCATACACATGGATATATTATACACACACATGTGGACATATATACACATATGCATGCACATGAACATATTATATATACACACACATGCATACACGTGGATATATTTGTGATAGTATAGGCTATATACTTGTGTACATAAATACATATATATGCTTCTTTGCACTCTTCTGTAACTTGTATAACAAGAGCCCCCAGTCTGTTGTCATGGAGTCATGGCCAACTCCGGCCGACCGATGGCAGAGGAGAAGAGCCCGTGCGTCCCCCGGGGTCATATTTATGAAGCCAGCCTGCCACGTTTTTCTCCCGCTGACTGGCCCTCATTCATTGCCAGGGAGCAGATTCAGACTCATCGCGGCCCTGTAGGACAGACGAGAACGGCCCCTCATCTTCCCTCTGGTGGTTTCCAACCGCTGACCTCTTTCCAGAGCAACACGTGGCGCGCTCTGCCAGCAGGCTGTGATGTTGATGGAAGCCGGCTTCCTCATCTTCCTGACCACTAGGCTTCCAGTTCTCGACCTTTGAATGAGCAGGTGCACGCTGTGGCCGGGAGATGTATGTAGTTTGTGCTCGGTGCCTTGAGCCACTTCCAACCTTGCGGAACCCTCCATAGGGTATTTTTCTCCAGTCAGGTAGCCAGGCAACTGCCTTCCAAGTTTTTTGGCCCATCCATAGCTGCCTCCATCTGTCGAAGTGTTCCAGGTGGTATTTGGTCAATTCCTGGAGCCTGTTTTTAACCGATGGCTTGCGTGTAGCATGGACTTCTTCCTGCAGCACTGTCAGTTCTTGATCGTATGCAGCCTTTAAAGTGGTTGAACACCAACCAGTTCTTTTTGCACCAGCGACTCTGTGTACCCTTCCCATTGTTCTTGGAGGCGTCCCATGCCATTCAACATTTTGCCCATAGAATCTTTCAGTATTGCAACTCGAGGCTACATTGTTTTTCTTCCTTCTTGCGTTCTTTCAGCTTGAGAAATGCCAAGTGGAACCCTCCCTTTTCTGACTCCAGGTCTTGGCACACACCTTGCCCTTTGAAATCTTGCGTTCAGCTCTTTGACTTCATTATATCTGCCGTTCCTTTCAGGTCCTCTCTATTTAAGTCTAAGATTCAGCGCCTCTTCTGACACCTGGTTTGGTCTTTTCTTTCGTGCCTGTCTCCTTAGTGACCTTTTGCTTTCTTCGCGTAGGATGTCCTTAATGTCATCCCGCAAGCCGTCTGGTCTGGGTTATTACTGTTCAGTGTCAAATCCATTTTTGAGACGGTCTCCCGTTTCAGCTGGGGCACCCTCAAGGTCGTCCTTGGTTTTCATTTTCGTCAGCTCTAACTTGGGCCAGCTCAGTGATGAGTGAGCGGTCCCGCAGCGAGCCCCGCCTTCTGCTGCTGCTGCGCGTGGACGCTGCCGTTTGTGTCGGCGTCTTTGCAAAACCGTCATACAATCTCCTACCGTTTCCATCGCGGTGGCGACGTTTTCCACCCACGGCTCTGCCTTCTTCCCACGTCCGTGTGCTACTCCCCAGTGACTATCAGCTCTCCCTGATTGCGTGTCGGACCCATGCCAGCAGGCAGAGATTGGTAGAAGCCAATCAATGTCATCATTGGGGGATTAAAAGCTAGTTCGGAAATATGAATAACAGCAGTCATAACTTTTCGTGTCTCGTACAAATATTACCGTGGACAGCATGTTCCTTCGGGAGATGTCCTCACATCGCCTCCTGATGACGAACAGGATGCCACGCCCGGCGTACGGAGTAGATCACCTGCCTGTCCGACTCAAAAGAGCCAATCCCGTCAGCTCACGAGTGACTACGCTATGGATCTGCCAGCATTTCCATCCTGATATAGATCCACGTACTGTGGCTGTGTGCCACCGAGTCAATTGCACCTCATAGCAACCTAGCGCGCACAGTGTGCAGAGCCTCGTGAACGTTTTCTACAGCTGTGATTTTTAATATATTTTGAAAGAATCCATTTGATGTATTTGTGTTGTTTGGGGGAATGCGGGGGTAATTCCAAAAGTATCCCTATAAGATCATAGAAACCTTTATTTAACAAATAGACCCAAGTAGGAAGCTGCTGTTTCTGGGCATAACTTCCACCGGGTCCATGCACGTCTGAAGACAGGTTTCCATCTGCGCAGCCCCGATGAATTCTGCACGCTTCCGTTGATGCCACGTGAAGACAGCCGGTTGGCATCCTTAAGGGACTGCAATCACGTTCCCTTTCCACGGTCTCCGAGGATGGGGGTGAACGGCTCATCAATGGGCACCCAGGACTGGAGGGTGGATGCGACAAGAGAACTTCCCCCAGGGTGGCCCTGGTGAGCCTGCAGAAGCAGCGAGCGCATCGTCTCGACAGAAAACAAGTCCTCAGCAAGCTGCCTGGCTCTTTTCTCACCTGGCAGGTTTCCCCTTCCTCTTAAGCCCCCAGGATCGCCCGGTGTCCTTTAGGAAAACCTATCAAGATGATTTATCCCTTAAGATCCCCTCCCCACAGCCGCCACCAAAAAAAAAGTTAGAATAAGATTCTGAGTCCCCTGTCTTGAATTTCACTGGCCCAGAATATCCCATTGGAAGTCATTCTTTTCCATGAAACATCTTCTTCTTCTAAGACAAGAATGTTCCTGAGAATTCATCTACTGGTCACAGAGATATGTTTAAATATTAAAAAAAACAAAACCAAAACCACGGCGCGTGTATGAGCTGGAATTCTAATGACAGTAAGTCCTTACCTTGCCTCATCCACAGCACAGTATCCCCCAACCGTCCCACGGGGACCGTTTAGCGGTACCTGCTGCAGACGACACAGCCTCGCTTTGCTGCGGGACTTGAAGCCCTTGCTGATGAAGGCCGAGGACCACAGCCTTCAGCCTGGACTATGACTCCGTGTGAAGGAAACAAGGTTCTCACAGGCGGGTCCGTCGATT